TCTTCCGATCCACAATCGCAACTGGTCTCTCCACGTAGTTCAGGCTCGCATCCACCTGAATGTCCTCTAACGACACCACTGCCGACTCATCGGCAATACATTTCCTCAACTGCGAGACATGAAAGGTATCATGGATCTGCCCCAACTCAGCAGGTAGATCCAACCGGTAGGGTACCCTGCCTACCCTAGCAATTACCCTGAAGGGTCCAATATACCGGGGTCCCAACTTGCCCCTCTTCCTGAATCGTATCACTCCTTTCCAAGGAGAGACCTTTAGGAGCGCAAGGTCACCAACCTGAAACTCGAGCCTCGGACCGACGCCTGTCCGCATAACTCTTCTGGCGACTCTGCGCGGTCAACAACCTCTGCCTGACCTGCTGAATCTGCTTGGTCGTCTGGACTACAATCTCCGTGCTACCCATCACCCGCTGCCCCACCTTTCCCCAACAGATGGGGGTGCGACACCTTCGCCCATACAACAACTCAAAGGGTGGCATACTAATGCTCGAATGATGGTTGTTGTTGTACGAAAACTCTGCTAAAGGTAGATAGGTGTCCCAGCTCCCTCTAAAATCCAAAACACATGCTCGGAGCATATCCTCAAGCGTCTGAGTTGTCCGCTCGCTCTGTCCGTCCGTCTGCGGGTGGTATGCGGTACTGAAATGCAGTCTCGTACCCAACTCCTCATGAAACTTCTTCCAAAACCTGGAAGTGAAACGCACATCCCGATCTGAAACCATCGACATCGGAACCCCATGCCACGATACCACCTCTCTCACATATAATTCCGCCAACTTCTCCGCAGAAGAGCTTTCGCTGATGGATAGAAAATGAGCGCTCTTCGTCAGTCTATCCACGATCACCCAAATCGCATCAACTCCCCTCGTAGTTCGTGGCAATTTGGTGATAAAGTCCATGGTAATCTGTTCCCACTTCCATTCGGGAATCTCCAACAGCTGCAATTTGCCGTGTGGATGCTGGTGCTCGTCCTTAACATGACGACAAGTGAGGCACCTCTCGACAAACCATGCAACATCCCTCTTCATACAGGGCCACCAATACTCTTTCCTTAGGTCCAAATACATCTTAGTAGCCCCGGGATGAATCGAAAATTTCGATCGATACGCTTCCTCCATCAAGATAGTATGCGCACCGCCCACAAACGGTACCCAAATCCGACCCTGAAAAGTCATAAGTCCCTGACCATCCGTAACGAATTCTGATACCTGACCGACAACCCGCTCCCTCTTCTGATTTTTTGATCTCGCAGCCTCAGCCTGAGCCCCTCGGATGGTGTCCAAAATTGGGGTCATCACCGTCAAGCTCAAACAGATATCTCGCATCAGGGCACCCTGTGCCCTACGATTCAGGGCGTCGGCTACCACATTAGCCTTGCCTGGGTGGTACAGGATCTCGCAATCATAATCCTTTACCACATCCAGCCATCTCCTCTGATGCATATTTAGATTTGGCTGATCCATCAAGTACTTCAAGCTGTTGTGGTCCGTATATATCGTACACTGAACCCCATACAGATAGTGACACCATATCTTGAAGGCAAAAACCACATCCCCCAAATCCAAATCATGGGTGGGATATCTCGTCTCATGAGGCTTTAATTGCCTCGACGCATACGCGATCACATGCCCTCTCTGCATCAACACCGCCCCAACCCTGATATCGATGCATCACAGTACACCACGAAATCCTCCATCCCTTCTGGTAATGCAAACACGGGAGCTTCGCACAATCTCTGGTGAAGGGTCTCAAATGAGGTCTGCTGCTCCGGACCCCATGAGAAAGTAACACCCTTCCGGGTTAACTTGGTAAGTGGCACAACAATTTTGGAGAAGTCCCTGATAAATATCCGATAGTAGCCTGCCAGCCCTAAGAAGCTCCGGATCTCCGTAGGTGACCCCGGCACCTCCCAACTCATCACAGCCTCGATCTTGGCCGGGTCAACCAAAATCCCATTCTAGTTAACGAGATGCCCTAAGAACTGGACCTCCCGTAACCAAAAATCACACTTGGAGAATTTAGCGAATAGCATCTCCGATCTCAGAACTCCGAGGAGCTCTCTCAAATGCTCCTCGTGCTGATCTATGGTCCTCGAATACACCAAGATGTCATCAATGAATAGAATTATCGATTAATCCAACATCGGCCTACACACCCTGTTCATGAGGTCCATGAATGTCGCGGGTGCATTGGTGAGCCCGAATGGCATCACCACGAACTCGTAATTTCCTGTAACGAGTCCTAAATGTCGTCTTCTAGATATCCTCATCCCGAACTCTCATCTGGTGATATCCCAACCTTAGGTCTATCTTGGAGAACAAAGATGCCCCTGCAACTAAATCGAATAGATCATCGATCCTCGGTAGTGGATAACGGTTCTTGACCGTCAACTTGTTCAGCTCCCGGTAATCAATGCACATTCGGTGTGAACCATCCTTGTTGTTGACAAAAAGGATCGACGCTCCCCAGGGAGAGCGACTAGGATGGATGAAACCTTTCCTCAAGAGCTTCTGCAGCTGTGAGGATAACTCCTGCATCTCTGGCGGCGCTAGGCGATATGGCGCCTTAGCGATAGGCGCGACCCCGGGAATCAAATCGATACGAAACTCCACTTTCCTCTCGGGAGGTACGCCCGACAACTCCTCGGGGAACACATCCCGGAACTCACGCACTATCGGCACATCATCCACTGAACTTGGCCTCCCAACAGCCTCTCGTACATCCGTCACATAGGCCACGAATCCCTTGCAGCCCTGCTGCAAGCTCCGCCTCGCTATGGCAGCCGAACAGAATACCGAACCACCACGAGTCCCCTCGCCATAAACTGTCAGCACTCCCCCACTAGGATCTCGGATCATCACCAACTGACGCTCGCAATCTATGACAACCCTGAAACGGCTCAACCAATCCATGCCCACTATAACACAAACATCCCTCATGGCAATCGGTATCAAATCAATCGGAAATTCCACTCCGAAGATCTCCAGTACGCATCCACGTATCACCTAGGTAGCACATACCTCACGCTCATCGGCTATGGAAACCTGCAGAGGTCGACTCAACGCCTCCCTCAGAATACTAATGTGCCGACTAAAAGTCACAGATACGAACGACCGACTCGCACCCGAGTCAAACAACACTAATGCAGGTACAAAATTCACAAGAAAAGTACATACGCATAACATATAATCATCACAATATAAACTCAACATAAATAAATAAAGAATATGTACCTGCCACGATGTCAGGTGCTGCGCGGACCTCTTCCGCTGTCAACTGAAAGGCTCTCCCGCTAGCATTCGGTGTTTCGGCCTTTGCTGGCCGGGTCTCAGTAGCTCGAACTGCAGGTACGGATCCCTGCACTGTCCTCTGAAGCTGGGGCACTCGGCCTTCCGATGGCCGGTTTGGTTGCAATGGAAGCAAACCGAGAACCTCTTAGGACAATCCCTCGCGAAATTCCCTTCCTTCCCACACTTGTAGCATACCCCAGACTTCATGACCCATCATGGCTCTTGCCGCACTTCCCACAAGTACGACCCCTGGAACTACTCGTCCTCAAATCAGCGGGCTTTGCCCACTTGGCGGCTGGCTGCGACTGTGCCGGTCGCCGATCACCCCTCTGAGACTCGGCTTCCTCCCTTGCCTGCGTCTCAAGCTCAATCTCCCTCTTCCGGGCATTTTCCTGGAGCTGGCAAATGTCCGGTAAGTCGAGTTCGCTACGAACTCACGAATGTCCCTTCTCAGTATACTCAGATATCGGCTCATGCGAGCCTGCTCAGTGGACACCTGCTCTAGGCAAAACAATGCCCGCTCATGAAACATCCTCGTAATCACTATCACCAACTCAGTCCCCTGCTTGAGGGTCAGAAACTCCTGGGCTAAGCATTCCCTCTCCACCTGGGGAACATAATCGTCACGAAACATTACAGTAAACCTCTCCCAGGTCACTACTGTCAGCTCAGCTGTCGAATAGCTCGCGGTCACAAACTTCCACCAGTCCTTCGCCCCAAGAGAAGATGGTTGAGTGCAAACCGCACCCTTAAGTGCTCTGGACACGAGCACGTATAGAAACACCCTTCTATGTCTGAGATCACCCTCATGGCGGCGATCGGATCCTGTGTACCATCGAACTCTGGTGGTTTCGTGTTGCTGAACTCTCGATACAGCAACGAATCACCACCCTGGGGTCTCGCAGCAGCAACAACAGCATCATTCAAAGCAGCGTAACGCTCATCAAACGTCTCGATCAGTGTGGTCTTGATAGACCCAAACATCTCCGGAATCTCGGCTCTGATGGCAGCAGCCACCTCCTCATGGATGATCTGACGGATCTCCTCATCACTCACCCTACTGCCCTCGATGGTATGGCGTGTCCTGACCTTGATCAATCTCTGAAATACAACATAAGAACTATTAGGGACACTTTCAAGCATACTCACACTCGACAAATTAATCATCCTCAACTTCTGGTACCCCAAGGATTCTTACTTGGACTGCGCACCAATCCGGTGTCTTCAATAGTACGGGCCCAATACTATCGTCCACACCGAATCAATATACAACCCAAGTCCTCCTCCTAGGATCCCAAGTCGTAAATAATCTACTCTCGCTATGCATTGGCTACCCTCAGTAGACCTCTCACGAGCTCCTCATTGCTACCTACTCACTCTCAAAGTATCTCATAGCAGCATCAATCTCCTAGGCTAAAGCATCACAAATCAGGCCACTCTAGTCCTAATAGGAATACTTAGCCTCTCTAGCATGCACAACATAATATCTCATAACTCATAACATATAATTGTAAGGGTATTTGGGGATTCATTGTTCGGGCGCTGGCTGACCGTACACACCTTCCACTCTGCTTCGTTCCAAAACCTCTTTTTCTTTTTAGAAAATTTTAGTTTTGTTTGAAAATTTCTCAAATCCTCGGTTTGAGTTCAAATACGCCTGAAGGTGCAAGGATCGCTGGAGAAACTTTTGGGATGTTAATTTCTGTTCTTTTTCTTCAAGAGGCAATCAAGGTAATTAACTAAAGTCGCTAATAATTTGTTAATGTTGTTTCATGTTTTATAACTTTTGTTGGTTTAGGGACTCGTGAGTGAGTTCAAGGTGCCTAAAAATGAGGACGCAAATAAAGTGAAGTATCAATTTCAATGGCTTTACACCAATGGTATGTTGGCAATTGTATTCTCATTTGGGCTTTTATACACGACATTAAAAAGCAGGAAAGCAAGATTATGGTGGTTTGGGACAGGTGAATGGAGTAGATTTTAAACTTTTTTCCAAATTTGTCTTATTATTCTAACATGTAACAAGTATTATCTTAATATATAGGCCGACTTAGAAGCTTCATAGCAGACTATGGAGTCCCATTGATGATTATAGTGTGGACAGCTGTCTCTTTCAGTGTACCTGGCAAACTCCCTTCTGGAGTTCCAAGAAGACTCTTTAGTCCACTCTTATGGGAATCTGAATCAACATACCATTGGACTGTTATCAAGGTAAATATCTGTAGACATTTTATATAAAAAAAAAACTTCATAATTAGATCTTAATTCTTCCCTTGAATTTAACTGCAGGATATGGGTAAAGTTCCTCCTGTATACATCTTTGCAGCCTTCATCCCATCTCTTATGATAGCTGGCCTTTATTTCTTTAATCATAGTGTTGCTTCACAGTTAGCTCAACAGAAAGAATTCAACCTCAAGAATCCTTCAGCTTATCATCACGACATTCTTTTGCTTGGATTCATGGTACCCATGTTTTATTTATTTATTTTGCTGTATAATTAACATGTTAACAATCAGACACATAATTTTTTAATTATTAAATGTTGTTTTCAGACGTTGCTTTGTGGACTATTAGGACTACCTCCTTCGAACGGTGTATTGCCTCAATCACCCATGCACACTAAAAGCCTAGCGGTTCTCAAAAAACAGGCAACTCCACACACAAAAAAATAATAATAATAGAATTAGATATG